TAATTTTGCACAATAATATCTTCCTGGTAATAAATATTTTATACCCCTCTCTTTAAAAGGTCCCTTTATAAGGTGATTATGTATAGCAAATAGAAATCATTTAATTTGTTTGGTTTACATACTACATATTAACACATTATAGATGCATTGTGTGAACATGTCAACTAGATAATAGGGTAGTGTTTTATCACCATAAAAATTTAAATATTTATGTAACCCATGGGCTTGCCATTATGATCAAGTTACGCTGATAAAGGATCACCAGATTCTCACTTAGAATGCAAAAACATATAATTATTTCACAATCCAAATAATAACTTAGTGAGGCAACTATAATAATGATTTAAAAGGCTTCTGCATGGAGCCAGCTGCGTGCAACAAAGTTTTTTAAGAGTTCACTGCAAATAGTAAAATGTTGATATAATATATCACATACCCAAGTTAAACAAACAATAACTATGTGGCTCCGGTTGTCTGTAATGCTTTATAGGCTGAGCAGTTTAATTATCGTTTTAGCACAGTGTAAGGTAGACTTGTACATGACGAGAACAATTATCTTGGTTAAACCTATGATCCTGAAATAAATTGAATAGTTTTCGGGACTCCCAAATTTTGTCCGTATGAAAATCTAATTCCGATTTGGGAGCTGAATCAGAAGTAAAAAAAAAAAAAGTGGAAAATGGTAATATTTTGTATCTATTTTGTAGTCCACTAATAGGAGCATTTCTTTGTCATTTGGCTCATAGATCAAGTGAGATAATAACCTACAGAAGGAGAAAATAGTAGGAATAGTATATATTAATATAATCTAGTATTATATATGTATTGAATGTAGACAGAGTTATTTACTAAAGTGAGAAAAGTGAATTCAAAGCGACTATTAAATGTTAAAGGTCAAAATAGCCAAAAAGGAAAAAGTCTTTATGGTTTCAGTTTGGCTACTCTGGCATTAAAATTGAAATGCACTTTGGATTCACTCTGAATTTTAACCCTGATTTATATAAAAATCGAAAAATATAGATGTTATTTACCGCTCCTCCTTTTTCCCTCTATTGCTCACTTATGTAGGGCTATAGGTATAGTGTGTGTTCTAGTTCTGCCTAAGATTAGGACCATAGACTAAGACTGATTATAAAATAATACTGAATTATTAAACGAATAGTCCAAGCATAATAACCCCTACACTGTGCCATAGTTCTGTGAATGCCCTTTAGGCAAGTAGTCAAACCATTTTTAAATAGTTTGAATTCTTACTTGGGATCTACCAGGTTCTAGTTCCTGTTACTACTGCAGCCAAAAGCTTTCTGCTCTGAGCTAAGCCAGGTAAGGTTTAGCTCATTATCTAAGAGTGATCGGGTTAGGTGCGAACCTACTGGCGGTGCAGTCAGTGTGATGGCACCAGAGGTCCAGTGCGGAAAAAAATGCACTTTGGGATGGTTTCACATCTGACCAGTAATTCTAACCAAAAAGTACTAAACATGGCTCCCAAATGGAACAAGGGTAAGCCAGGACCTGGCATTAAAAGAAAACTTTAATAACATGTCTGCTCATCACAAAATAATAAATTATAAGACTATATTACAAGCATTTTTTCAGCTACAATTAAAAAAAATAACTTCTGTTTTCTTTGTATAATTTTTCCATTGAATGTGAATAAATATTCATGATCCAAATGTACTCCCTTAAATTCTCTGCAGTTCTTCCTCTCTGAAGTGGAAGTATTTATGCACATCTCTCTTTATTACAACAATAATGGGTTTAATTTTTCAACACTGCAAACTGAAAGAATCAAAAAGGTACGTGTTCAAATATATATACGTTCATTGATGACTCCAATGGCATAGGATACAAGCAATGTGCTTCTATAAGATACAGGCCACTTATTGCAACTCACTATGGATAAACCAGTAGAGAGATAGTAGTACAGGAGTTTAGATACTTAATCGATTCTAAATAAGTTACTCTGAACGCTTTTTAAAGGACCACTATAGTGCCAGGAAAACACTCGTTTTCCTGGCACTATAGTGTCTGAGGGTGCCCCCACCCTCAGGGTCCCCCTCCCGCCCGGCTCTGGGGAGAGAAAAGGGTTAAAGCTTACCTTTTTTCCAGCGCCGGGCGGGGAGCTCTCCTCTTCCTCTCCGCCTCCTCTCCTCCCCTTCGGCTGAATGCGCACGCGCGGCAAGAGCTGCGCACGCATTCAGCCGGTCTCATAGGAAAGCATTTACAATGCTTTCCTATGGATGCTTGCATCTTCTCACTGTGATTTTCAATGAGACAGCCACTAGAGGATTTGGAGGCTGGATTAACTCATTTATAAACATAGCAGTTTCTCTGAAACTGCTATGTTTATAAAAAAAAAGGGTTAACCCTAGCTGGACCTGGCACCCAGACCACTTCATTAAGCTGAAGTGGTCTGGGTGCCTAGAGTGGTCCTTTAATCAAACCAGTGCTAATTACAGTGAGATAATGTTGAAATGGCAGCTGTTTCCCTCTTAAAGGGTTACTCTGACCTTCTGGGATGTAGTTTTCCCTGCAATGAGGGGTAGTGACTTCCAGGGCTGCCATCAGAAATGTTGGGGCCCCTGACAAAGCACAAGGTCTGGGCCCCCCGGGCCCACCCATGAGTCCGCCCACAGGACTCCTACCTAGTCCGCTGACAATGATGTAGGACTGAATGTGGTGTGTATAGTGGAAGTGAATTAGAATGTGTGTAATGGATGTAGTGTTTGTGTGTATTAGATACTGTTTGTGCAGTGAATGCAGAGTGTGTGTTTGTGTAGTGGATGCAATGTGTATAGTGAACACAGAGTGTGTTTGTGTAGTGGATGTACTGTGTACTGTGTATACAATGATGTAGTGTGTGTTTGTGTAGTGGATGTAGTTTTTGTGTGTACTAGATGCAATGTATTTAGTGGATGCAGTGTCTGTAGTGGATGTAGTATGTGTATTAGATACAGTGTCTGTGTATAGTGAATGCAGAGTGTGTGTCAGTGTAATGAATGCAGTGTAGTGGATGCAGTGTGTGTGTTAGTGTAGTGAATGCAGTGTGGGTTAGTGTAATGAATGCAGAGTGTGTTAGTGTAGTGAATGCAGTGTGTGTGTTAGTGTAGTGGGTGCAGTGTGTGTGTTAGTGTAATGAATGCAGAGTGTGTGTTAGTGTAATGAATGCAGAGTTTGTGTCAAAGCAGTGAATGCAGAGTGTGTGTCAGTATAGTGGATGCAGTGTGTCAGTGTAGTGAATGCAGAGTGTGTGTCAGTGGAGTGGATGCAATGTGTCAGTGTAGTGAATGCAGAGTGTGTGTTAGTGTAATGAATGCAGAGTGTGTGTCAGTGTAGTGAATGCAGAGTGTGTGTTAGTATAGTGGATGCAGTGTGTGTTAGTGTAATGAATGCAGAGTGTGTGTTATTGTAATGAATGCAAAGTGTGTGTCAAAGTAGTGAATGCAGAGTGTGTGTTAGTGGTGTGGATGCAGAGTGTGTGTCAGTGTAGTGGATGCAGTGTGTCAGTGCAGTGAATGCAGAGCGTGTTTGAGTGTAGTGGATGCAGTGTGTGTGTTAGTGTAATGAATGCAGAGTGTGTGTCAGGGTAGTGAATTCCAAAGAAAAGAAAAAGTTACCTGCGCTCTCTCCTTAATCCCTGTGTATATTTAGACAAATTGGAGGTCATTTAGTTGCTCCAATGGCCATTGGAGGGAATGCCTGCCTGCCAACGTCAAGGCAGCCCCTCCCCCTCCCCCCCAGGTCCTAACACTGACCCTTCAGCCTGCTTCCTTGAGCTTCTGGCAAAGATATCTCTAATGAGACAGAGAGGGGTATTTTTTTATATACACCCCTAGTTGAAGGGTCATTATAAAAGTTATTCCTCCCTCCCTGTTTCTTACCTGGTTCAGGGAGGGGGGAGATTCCATGATCCCTGGTGGTCTGGTGGCATTGTGGGGCCACCCGGCTCCCTATACTTGCAGAGGGGGCCCAGCAGACTCTTCCCTCTCTCTATCTCCCGCGAGCGTGCGTCCTTTAATGGAATAAAATGTCTATAGAATATTCAATTTTGTACAAGTTTTTAAATGTATTTTTTACCTTCCCTGTTCAGAAACCATGAACCAGTAAATCATAATATCAGTGAACTCAGTCATGAACATGTAATAAATATAATGAAGAGTCAACTTGTTGAAAAAGTATGCTTTATCTTTTATAACAGAGATACTACATTTTGGCCATTTCACTTTGATGATTCATCAGTGGATGCAGGAAGACTGGCAGATTCCTGCCAACCAAAGACCCATATCTTCTTCCTAAAAACCCACAAGACAGCCAGCAGCACAGTCATGAACATTCTGTTCCGTTTCGGAGAAGCTCACAACTTGACCTTTGCCCTTCCCTTTCAAACAC